GTGACTCTTGCGATATGCGTGTGTCATATCATCGTCTTAAACTTTTGGAGCATCAAACTATGTCTTGAATGATACGTGGTCAACAACTTGTCAAGTCATTTGATTCGTGTGCACTAGAGTGTATGTGACTTCTTTGAGATGCGTGTACCATATCATTATCTCGATCTACGACACCGTCAGATTGGGTCTTGGTTGACACATGGTTAGTGACCTTTCAAGTCACATGCCCGTATGTACAACATAGTGCATGTGACTCTCGAGATACAAGACTATTTAAACTTTCATGTCATTCACATGACTATCTAAATTATCATGTCACTCGCATACCTAAACTCTTCTGCCACTGATATGACTACCTAAACTCTCATGCCACTCTCATCAATATATAAGGTCTATCTTACCATAACTTCCCACAACAATTCCTTCAAACTTCATACTTCCTCTGCTTCTCTCTAACCTTCTACACTTTTATAAATTTTATTGCTTTTTCATTTGATAAGGATTCTTCCATTCAAGTAATCATCTTTGATGATGGTGAAATTGTTACTTGATGTGGACATAAAAGTCCAAAGCCATGAGAAAAAAGATAAAGATCTAATGGAAGACTTAATTGGACCAATGACTAGAGGAAGGATTAGAAAGGTCCTAGAAACTTTACAACAGAAGGTCAGTTACATTTGTAATAAGCTTGGAGAGTTAAAATAAAAATAATTTTTTTTTGTGGAGTTGGGATTTGAACCCAAGACCATTAATTTAATATTTGATTAGTTTTAATTCTTTTGAGTTTCTTTTTATTATAAATAAAGTCAATCCCAAGAAAATCTTACCCTAGATTTTTGTATTTATGATTGTTGAATTGAGAAAAGAGACAACAAATGATTTTTGCCAAAATGAGAATATTTCTCTACTAGGGTTCTTCCTTGTGTATTTGATCTTATAAATAATTCATCAATTCTTGTGGTGATCATCTTTAGGCTTATCAAACTTTGTTTGTGACGCATTCCTTTATTCAGGTTTTCTTTATTTTGTTCTTAATTTATTCCAAACCCTAAATCTTTTGCGTCAATTCTATTTGGAATCTTATCATTATTTGTCTTCAAATGAGAGTTTTTTTTAGTTACAATGTCATCGTGATGCATATTCACAGAGGAATGACATTTGAGTATTTCAAACAAATGGTTCAACAAAAATGTTATCGACCTTCACATGAATAAGTTTCCCTTGTCCCGTATAGATACCATGTTCGAGTTTATGACTCAGATGCATACTATACCGCAACTATGGTTAAAGATGACGAAGATTTATAAGGGTTAATCGGCATAAAAAATGCAAACTCAACCTTGGTCGGAACTAAGATATGTACAACCTACCTCAAATGTTTTTCCCTCTTTCACCCATGTAAACACAACACATACTTTCTTCTACAAGAACACATACTTTCTTCTTTATATGATACGCTGGGAGAGCTACCCAAAGCTTATAATGCCTTCACTGAACCATCAGGGCAACTTAACTTTGTTTGGGATATTAGGATTTTAATTTATCTTTATTTTCAACAAATGAGACAAACTCATAAACTTAAGTTGTATTAAACATTTTGGAAATTCAGAATGAAGGTACATATTATTCAGAATCAATTTGTGAGTTGTTGCTCTGCTAGGGTTCTTCCTTGCATCCTTTGATCTTATTAGGAATTCTCCAATTCTTGTGGCGATCCTTCTTGACTTATCAAATATTCTTATTTGTGGCGCCTACGTTGTCCTTTATTTTTTTCTGTTTTCTATTTCCAATTAAATCACCATCCAAAACCTAACCCTAAATCGTTTTCCTTCTATTTCGAGTGTCGTCACACATGTGATACGCCTTCGATTTCACAAGATCACAATAGGTTAGGGTCACACATAATTTGATAACAGATTCATGAAATTGTGGACATGGACCCTTCTACTTCTATTGTCACTATTATTACTCATATTAAATCCTCAGTTGGATACATTGTAACATATAGAAAAGTTTTGTTAACAAAGTAACAAGCAATTAAAAATGTTTACGACAATTGAGAAGAATCACTCAACAAATTGTCTAACGTATATTCACTGAAAGAGAGAGACAAATAATTGCAATGATTAATGAAGTTGCTTTAAAGGTGTTGTAAGATGTTTATGCAAAATCAAATACTATAAGGTGTTTGGATTCAATATAAGCGAGCACAAGATTTTTGGTAGAGAAGATCTACTCATTAATTTAAATTATATATATTTCTCATTAATTTACTTATACATTTCTCGTTAATTTAACACCTAAAATATCTACTCATTTTAATTTAAATTATATATCGTACTCAAATTATTTAATTTTGTAAAAATTATATGTATTTACTAAAAATATTTTATATAGTTATGACAAACATTAAATAAATACTTAAAATATTATATATATATATATATATAATATTTAATAAAGTTAAAATATATGTATATATATAAATATAAATATGTATTTATTAAATGTATATATATATATATATATATTATTAAATATATATATATATATATATATATAATATTTATTATATTCATAAAAATATATAATTATATTATATAAATATATATTTATTAAATATAAAGATATAAACAAATATTTTATATATATATATATATATATATATATATATATATATATATATATATATATATAATATGCTGTTAAGAATTCGGTTTTCTATGAACTGAATTCTGAATGGTATTTTAGCTAAATTCACCCCAATTGAAGATTATAATTTGACTTTTTAAGAACGAATTCTGACATAAAAACCGTGTTACTTACATAAATATTAGGCACAGTATATTAGATGACAGAGTGCTCTTTAAAGCAATATATACAAGTATTAAGGTATCATGTCAGCATAAAATATTTAAAAAATAATATTTGTAAAAGAAATATTATTTTATATTTTAAAATAAATATTAAAAATTAAATATAATAAATTAAAAACTTATAGTAATATAAATAAATATGTTTTAGAGATATTAAAATTAAAATTCATATAAATAGATAATTCAAATTTTATAAAACGAATTTTTTTTATAGGAATCAAAACAAAAACTCATTAAATTTACATGAAAAAAAAACACATGTATACCTATTTAATAGTTTTAAACTTTTATTATAAAATATAATATTAAGTACTTTTTTTACCACCCGTTTCTTTAAATTTATTAAATTAAAGACTAACTTCATTATCATAATATAAGTATTGTTTAATTAGATAAATTTTCACATTCAAATTTTAAATATGTATAAATTATCAGTACATCTTAAAAAATATGTATGGATAGTTTCATTTAGTTTTATTTCTTAGTTTTTAAGAATAGTTTTAGAAATTATTTTTGAAAATTTGAATTTAAAAATTACTTAAAAAAATTGTTTGATAATTTGTTTAAAAATGATTGTAAATAAAAGAGAATAATGTTCAATGACGAAAAAAAAGTAAAAAATAATTTTTATAATTTTATCACGATAAAATATAATTACTAATAAAAATAAATAGTACTAATAAAAACATAAAATATTTTTATTATTTTTTAATTTTTATAAAATAAAAAATTAAAACAGTTATCGAATAATTTTTTTAATTTTTAAATGTAAAAAATTTAAAACAAATTTTAAAATATGTAAAGAAACAAAAGTTTATGTATCTAAAAATTATTTTACGTAAAGTTATTTCATATTAGGAAAGTGATGTAATTACAGTAACATTTCACTTAAAAACTATTAAAAAGTTGTTGTTAACATACTTTTTACGTGTACAACATCGCTATGAATGACAAGTCACAACTGGCACGACTCTATTATGAATTTTTGCAGTGGATAAGGACATTGGTGGTCTTAGCCTTGTGTTTTTCTATCTTAATTCCGAATGTTGTCATAGCCTACACTGGCACTCAGTATTTATTGTTTGTTGAAATTTTTTCATTCATAATAAATTTAATCAAATCCAATATCACAATATTATATTTTTAAAAATATAACATCCATGTTTTTTTTTCACCAAAAGCACTTTTTTTTAATTTTTTAAATAAAATTTGTTCCGTTTAAATATATATTTGTAATAATATAGTTAGATTTAATTTTTATGTTTAAACTTTTTTGACATTTTTATCTATTATAATTTTATATTTAAAATTATTTTTATAAATTAAGGAAAATAATATATAAAAATTATTATCTGAATTACAAAATAATATAAAATTTAATGGTATAAGACTTGTAAAGCTTATGAAACTCGTGAATATATGTGTAGGAATATTTTAAAATCCATTGCATTTAATAATATTTATTGTTTTTTTAAGAAAATGAGGTGCAATATCTTGACAAAATCTACAATCTTTTTAGTCCATTCACCAAAAAGACTTAAACCCAATAAAAGTCTTTTGAAATTACTTAAAATTTTATTTTTCCCTATTTAATTAGTTTATCGCTTTTGAGCATTCAAAATCGTGAAACCACCGTATGCTTCATCTTATTAGAAAAATCTTACTTGACTTTGTTCCAAAATTTTAAAACTAAATAGTTTATTTATAATATATTTTTTGGTCATTTAAATATAAATTATTATGTACTCAGTTTTTGTATATGTACTATTATAGCTATTTTAAAAATAATGTAAAATTACATAGAAATAAAGTTTTTGTTTCAACAATAATAATAATAAAAAAAAAGTTAAAGTTCAAAACTTTAAAGGGACAATTGTGGAATTTAAGTGAGAATCACTGCATTGTTCTTTCTGGTCTTTACGAGGTACCTGGGACATGATTACATTCTAAACATCACACATTCTCTGCTATTTCTTTCTTTTTCTCTGTGTGTTCTTCTCCAATACAACTCTATTTTCATCGGTGACACGGAACCGCTCCCAAGAACTTAACACGCGCCACCTTTTCTCTCTCTTCAACGACTCTTCTCACTGAACAGAAACAGTTTCCGCTGTGTAAATCGCAATGCAGGCAACTGAGGTAACCATCTTTTACTTTTTCTTTGAATTCAAAACCCCATCTTTTCACCCTTTTCTTGTTGGAATTGGAACATTATTTGATTTTGAATTTCTTGGTGTTGATTATTTCAGACCAGGACTGTTCAAGTTAAGCAGCTTTCAGATCTAGCTGGTGAGAGAGAGATTCACGAGTTCTTCTCCTTTTCTGGAGAAATTGAGCATGTTGAGATCCTGAGGTGGGGTAGTTTTTGTATCAATTTTTTTTGTCACATTTTTTATTGATTGAATTGGGTTTTTGCTAGTTTCAATCTGGGTGCTCAGAAAGGAAAAAGGGGCGAAGGGGTTGGAAAAGTCAGAGAAGAAATCATGGGGTGCTCTTAGTTTTGGATTTAATGATATAAAATTGTATTAATTAAAGGAAATTAAAGCAAAGAAGGACAGGTCAGGGTATAATTTTTTAATAAGTTCAGCTGTTAGGGTAAATTGTGCTGTCACAGTGCATTAATCTTCTTTTTTTAACCTTGTGTTATTTTAAGCAAAGTAACTGAGCATTAATTCAAAGTCTTCTACTTTAGGTTTTGAGCTCGTCCTGTGTATTCAAAGTTCAAACAATCAGTGCGTTGAATTAATTTATTCAACTTGTGAATTTTTTTTCATTGTTTTTCCATGCTTGCTGAAAGAAGTCAAATCTGTTTTATGATTACTTATTGTGTATCTTTCTTTTTGCAGTGAAGATGGGAAATCAAAGACTGCATATGTGACATTTAAAGATCCCAAAGCACTTGAAATTGCATTATTGTTATCGGTAATGCCACTTTTCCTTTTATGATTTTGATGGACCAGTGGTAGATTATCGAGTGGATTTGTAACCATGGTAGGTACTAGGTACTATGTACTGGATGTCTTCGCTAGTAGATGGTCAAATAAACGAACATAATTTACGTAGTAACTAGGTTTCTGAAAGGAATCATTTTCACTTAATGCATCTCACTTAAAATAAATGGAAGGAGAGTGACTCTAGAAATCCTTTGGAATCAAGGTGCCTTTTTATAGCTTATGTTAAAGAAGATTGCAAGCATATGGAAGTTGTTGTGTTATATTTTTAAACATTTTGTAAATTAGGCATTTAGCTGGTATCATAGAATTTCAATTTGAAAAATACATATATCTTTAATATTAGAATTACGAATGACAGAGCCTGATCATTTTTCACACTAGAAAGGCCTGTATTTCCTTATCAATGTCTATTTAGATATCTGTATTAATGTAGTCGATTCCTTTCCCTCTCTGGCCTGTTTTCAATTGCATGATAACATATTAAATTTTGGGAATACAAATCCTATATATGCCTTGGCAGTTTTTGGCTTGTGGCAGTAAAACTTTTGCCTTTTTCTCAGGGAGCAACAATAGTAGACCAAGTTGTGAGGATAACTCCAGCTGAGAACTATGTACCAACTCGTGAGATGCAAGTAAGAATTCCAAGAACTATAATATCATACATGAACTTATTGACATAAAATTTAGTGCTTATCGGAAGCAATTTATGCAGGAAGTAAGGGTGGTGGAAAATGCTATAAATGTTGCTCCTTCTGAAAATGTCTCTACAAATGTTGAGGTAAAACCAGAAACCGGATTAAGATTTTGCATGTTCTTCATTGGCATTTGGAGTAGACTAAAATGTTGTTGATATGATCTCTATGACACCAAGGGCTTTGTTAGTTCATTGGAGTGTGTTTTGAATTTTCCAGATTACTGACATTGCATTCTGACAACTATTAAAGAAGAAAGTCCCTGTGGTGATATTTTGTTTTAAGCAAGTTACGTCAATAGTATATAAATTTTTTAGGCTTCTTGCATCCTGTCAATCTTTAATCTCTTCCTTATAATCTTTCAGTAGTTCATTATGTTAATTTTGAAGCTCTGGCAAAATTTACTAGAACTGTTCTCGTTTTTCTCTGATTGAGTTAGTGTTCTGCTATATTATATCTCTTTCAGGATGGGAAAGCCAGCCCCACCAATAGAAGAGTTTACCTTACTAGAGCACAAGATGCAGTTACAAGTATGCTGGCAAAAGGTTCAGCAATAAGACAGGATGCCGTGAACAAAGCTAAAGCATTTGATGAAAAGCATCAATTGACTGCTAATGCATCTGCAAAGGTCATTTCTTTTGACAAGAGAGTTGGACTGTCAGAGAAATTGACAGTAGGCATTGCTGCAGTGAATCAGAAAGTCAAATCTGTGGATCAGAGGCTTCATGTTTCAGATAAAACAATGGCAGCAATAATGGCAGCTGAGAGGAAGCTGAATGACACTGGATCGGCTGTCAAAACTAGCAGGTATGGTTGAATATGATGCATGATCTCCATTTCTGTTCTTGGATTTCTCTATGAAACTGTGATGAGTTTGTGGTGAGATCCAACGGGGAAAATACACAGTATAATGAAATTTCGAAGTTTCTTTAGTTCCTACTTGGATTAAACTACAGGTTGGAGAGAAATGAAATGTCCATGATGTTCCTTGAATGTTAATAAAGGGTTATGTTTCTTAATGGGTTGTCTCATCTGCTGCAGATATGTGACTGCTGGAACAGCATGGTTAAATGGTGCTTTTAGCAAGGTGGCGAAGGCTGGACATGTTGCAAGTACTAAAACTAGAGAAAAATTTAATTTGGCTGTTTCAAACATGACATCAAAGGTTTGATATGCTCTTGCAATGTTAGTAATAAAGATAAAAGAAATTTTAAGCACTAAACTAGGATATAGTTCTGTAAGTATTTGTGAGATTGTGTTCCAAACATAATTCAAGTTATATCTTGATATCCATATTAACCATTAATTCAATTTTTTTTTTTATGTAGATTATCATGGTGATACTTCGTTTAACCATATAAAAAAATACTTAAAAGAACTGGAACTAACCTTTGTCCAAATTTAGACCTGTTATTTTTTCTTTTGTTAGGGAAAATGAATGCTGAGTGGAAGAGAATATATTTTTTATATTACGTTTTCATTCATTAATGCAGGAACCGTCAGTGGCTGCTGCATAGGGCAGAATTTTGGTAATGAAGTCAATTCATCAGGTCTTTCAGAACATGTTTTTTTAAATATTTGGTCTTTCAGAGCACGTGCGGCTTTCTTTCTGTCCTTCAACGGTTAGATGCAGGTGGCAAGTGCGATGATTCATTTTCAATCCTATTTTTTGTATTCTTTCTCACTCTGGTGTTCTGGTTGTTGCTTCTATGTAATTTAGCGTTGGTAATTATGGCTTTCTCTTTCTTTTGTGAAAAGGAAATTATTATAGGTGTGTATGATGCAACTGTTTCCTTTGTCAAAAAATTAGTTTTGCATGTGTAACTTGGCATTTGGTTCGAAGATTTACATGGGAATTATCATCGTGCAGACTAATTTCATTGTAAAGAATTATATTTTTGTACTAATTTATTGGGTTCGAGGAGTGCTAACTGACAAAGAGTTTTCAACTTTTGAAAGAAAACTTTCATTTTTAAGGTATGATGTTGATGTTATGATGAGGAACCTAGATGATCAGGTTGAAATGATGACTTTTGTTTAAGAGAGATCACTTAACTAAGTGAAGTATCTTAGGTTAAGATGATGTGATCAATTTTGCTAAGGATGATCACTTTATACTAAGTGAAACATCTTAGGCCAAGATGATAATTTTTGCTTGTGAGAGATTACTCTAGATTGAGTGAAACATTTTCAATTGAAATGATGAGTTTTGCTCACACGGGATCACTATAAATTGATTAAAGCATCCTAGGTCGAGATGATGAGGCCTAGATGATAACTTTTTCTTCAAAGGGAATACTTCAGAATTAATGAACATTGTAAGCCAAGATAATGTGGTTGTGATAAAGAGACCAAGAAGAAGATGCCAAGATGATGACTTTTGCTTGTGAGAGATAATTTTAGATTGAACGAAACATCCTAGGTTAAGATGATGAATTTTTGTTCAAAAGGGGTCAGTCTACATTGAACAATATGTCACAAATATTAGTGAGAAATAAGAGAAAATATGTGAATTTTTTATTTATGTTGCTTCGTTAAAATCTCTTTTATCAAAACCTTCCTTACAAATAAGAAAGCTAATTGTAGAAAATAGTAGACAAGTACAACTATTAACTTAAGTAGAATATTAGAAGGTTTGCATTTCAATACCTCTATATAGCTTACTTGAATAAATGTTCTAGTTGATAACCTTTGTTTGTAATGTTTGAGAAATTCGAAGTGGTTTTTATATGTATTGCTCCTAACTTGCCACATGAGTGAAAACATAGGTCAGCTCTAGAAAGGAAAGTTTAAATAAAGTTTTTTTTAATAGTAATTAATTTAAAGCATTTTTTTTAAAACAAACAAGCAATAAATAAGATGTGCAAATAAATATGATAGACAAGATGAAAACAACATACATATACTAGTTCACCCCAATTAAGAGTTACCTTTAGTCTCCTTTAAGGACACTTAAAGGGTTTCATTATAATCAATAAGATTACACCAAGTTATTCTTAGTTATCTACGAGTATATTAAGCCACTCTTGGCTATCAACAAGTATATTAAGTCATTTCTAGCTATCAACAACTATACCAAACCACTCTTAACTGTCAACCTTAATCTCCTTTTGAGACTTCAGAGTATAAGTATTATTTGTTATCACTCTTGATTACAAGAATGATTTCAAGTATTATAGTCATAGAAATAACTTTCAAATAAAGGATAAACAATAAACACTCATAACTATGGGTTTACTTCATTGGGTGAAGGATATAATAATGAATTATCTTTATTTATAAAAATAACTCTCACATAGAGAATAAAAAATTAACACTCTTAATTAATGGTTTACTTCAGTGGGTGAAAGATATAAAAATGACTTTTCTCTTTTAAACCTTTTGAAAGAAAACACTCACTAAGAAAAAGAAGACATAAATATGATTGTATTGTTGTGTTGTGATTTCTTCAACCAAGTAAACTCCTACTTTTATAGGCTTTACAAGGTAATTGTTGAACCGTTAACCTTTATTATTTTTTAGAAACATTTTTTAAATAATATGATATTCCTTTCATATTCTTTTTTACATAAAATATTCTTTTAGTATATCTCGGATATAATTCGGTTGTCTAACTCAAATACTTTTCTTGTAAGTGATGAATATAATCTCCTTCCACCAAAGAGATGCCCAAGTCTGCACCTCAAGCTCACCGAAAATTATTTTCTAAGTCTCAAAAGAAGACTTGGCATTAGCTCCTCCAAGGAAGGCTCCTTGTTCAGGAGACAAGGAGAAGAAAATTTCCAAAGGACACTTGAAGTCAAGTCAAAGTAGGGTACAAGAAAAATTGCAAGTTCCACACACTAAGCTTTAATTTCATTCAAATGTGATTCAAAAAGTTACACAAGGGATCATATATATAGTTGTTCCCCTCTCATTCACTCACTCACCTAAGGAATGTGAGACTAATTTTGTCTTATACAAGTGATGACCGAAGTTCATCGCTTCTAGTCCCACTAGTCCACTTTTAATTATATTTATGAGTTTATATACCAAAAAACTCTCAAATGTTACAACCAAGAGTTGAAACTTGGACCTCCTTGAGTGTTTGGAGTATTTTGGTTGAATTTAAGAAGTTAAAATGATATATTCCCCTTTTGTTGCAACCAAAACTTGAACCTTATCCTCTTTTTTTAAGTGCAACCCCTTCAAGTCCAATCTCCTCTAAATTTGGCTTTCTTCAAGTGTTTATATACATAATAACTCTCCAGAGTTACAACCAAGAATATAACTTGTACTTCTAGCTTGTATGTGACTGAAATTAAGCTAGGACAAAAGGTTTGACTGAGACTATGCTTTGGGACAAGATGTAACTCTCCAGCTTTTGGTTCAACCCAAGAGCTTGATATGGTTGCATGAAGAGAAAAGGATTCTAATAAGACCTCTTCTATCCTTCAGCTCATGGGTCTTGGTTGAGGTCCAATGTGTTGTGAAAAATATTTCCTTCTACATATCTTAGACAAATTTAATATACTTTGATAATCTTCATTTTCATTTGAAAAGTCTTAATATTATTTGTTGTATTTTTGCTTAATTTCTATTGAAGTATATAATATATTTTCATTGCAAGATAATATTTTGAATTACGACCATTACACATATTCTTTTATGAGAATCCTTTTATTTTTCACATTTTAAGTTAACCAACATATAATCATATATATCTTTTATCATATTTCAAAATTCATTTGATATTGTGTTTTCATAATTATTCTGGATAAAAAACTTAACAGGTCTCATATAGGATTACTAATTTATTTATTATAAAATACTTAACACATATGTTATATATTCCAAAACTTAATCATATTTGTTAGCATTTTGATCTTTGTATCTATCAATCTCCCCCTTTTTGGTGATGAAAAATATCATTAATTTCGTGATGAATTTTGAGGTGACACTCTTCTAGAGAATTATTGAACATGAGACTATATATGTAATGTTATGCATGTGTGCCTTTTTAATATAGGTCATGCATGGAAAATTTATGTAAACTCATGTATGCATGATACCAAATTTTATGTAACTAGATAGATACACATGCATGTATTGACTTTTATGGATCATATATATCCTCCCCCTCAATCAATAATTTTTCCTTATAATTATCACAAAATCTCCCCTTGATTCAATAAAACTACATTTTCTTTCTCCCCTTAACATCATCATTGCTCATATAGGGTTTGGTTTTATGGTTATAAGTAGGCTCTCCCCTAGATGGTACATTATAAACTATGACAATTTAAGTAAACTCCCCTTAGATAGAACATTAAATAATTTTTGCATAGAGTAAGACACCTGTCTAAAAAGCTAATGGCAAGAATTGTTTGCCGAATTAACTAATACCAATGGGATGTTCTTGAATAATTATTAATATTAACTAAGAAAGATTATATATATATATATATATATATATATATATATATATACTAATTAAAAAAATGTATGATTTTTTTAGTAAGTTAGTGTTTGGCAAGAGGTGTGTTCAACTAATGTATGTAAGTTCATCTTATATTAATATGTGATCTAGGGATGAAATGTTAAAAAAATTAAATCATAATAAGATGTCATGGGTTGGGGATTCAGGATTGCTTAAATTTGGTCTAAATAGTATATGATAAGTGAGCTCAGTATAATTCACCATGTGGATTCATATGTAATGAATGGTATGATAATGTTCATTAGATGACATACTATCGAATAATGAATGATGCATGAACAATTATATGCATTGATAGACAATAGTAATTAAACATCATAGTAACTGACCAACCTGAAACAGTTTTTGGCCCATGCTCATTTTGAAACTTATTTATCATCAGCTTAACAAACTCTATAATTTCATTTCTAGCTATTCTTCCTTTCTTATTTGTTACTACTTTTTCCTTCTTCAACTTCAAGTATTGGAACATAAAACTTTCTCTTGTTATGTGTCGTGAGCAGCCACTATCCAAGTAAAGAGTATAGGTGAAAAAAAAATCTACCTTGTCATCAAATGCATCGATGGGTAAATTGTAGTTGTGTTCACCATCTAACAAAAGTTGACTTCCTCATGTTTGATTTTTTATGAGTCCAAATCTTTCAAAGTAGACATCAAGACTTTTTTTTGGCACTTCTTGAGTATGAGACTCTCTTGTTCTTAGTATTCTCACGGTCTAGGCATTTAGATTTCTTGTGACCTGACTTCTTGTAGTTGTAGCAAATAACCTTGTATTTACCCTTGGATTCCTCTTATTAAGATGAGTTCTTCTTGTTTTTGAATACTCTCTTCTTTTTCCAAATGTTGTGTAGGCATCTCATGATGAATTCAAACTCGTCATCCTCGTCTTCTTCAACAAATTTTTCATCAGTTGAAGAGTTGTTTATTTTTTCTATGACTTTAGTATGAGTGTGTCGTATGGTGGATTTGATTTTGAGAGTTATTAACTTCTTTTTTATAGGTACATCTTGTAGTAGTTCTTCCTCGTGAACCTTTACT